AAATAACTTGTAATTTAAAGGTTAAGAAAGGAGAGTTGAAAAAGAATAATTTTTATGAAATATGGAGCAGATTTTTGGAATATGTGTTAACAAGAGGAAAAGAGAAAGCTCCAAATCAAGAATCAATGCAGTTCTGGAGAAGAGGACAATAGAAGAAGAAGAATATAGATGGAGGAAGATGATTACAGCAAGAGGTCCCATCTATGGTGGTGGCGAGCACAGTTAAATTGTGTTTTGGTTTGTGTATTTTATGTTTATGTTATAGCTATAAAAATAATTATTAAATAAAAATATTTACTATGTTCTTCTGTACAAATGTGCACAAGAGCACATATGCAAATACAACCTGTTGGTGCAAAGGTTGAATTGCTGAACCAGAACTCAAGAGACCGGGGCTCAAATAACCACTTAGCCATGAAATTCACTGGATGGCCTTTGACCAATTACACCTCTCAATCTGGTGCACCTCACAGAGTTGTAAGGATAACACCTTAAGGCGGACAATCAGATAAATAATCTTCAACCCAATGAAAGAAAGGTGGGATAAAGTATATTGTATAAACACTCACCTGCCTTAAGAATAGGGTGGATCTGATTTAAACCACGATCTAAATCAAATTGGTTTAAATAAGGATTTTAAAAATTTTGTAAAGGAATTTTTGACAATTTACACAAAATCATTTTTTTAAATTTAAATCAATTTGATTTTTTTAAAGAATTATCCACCCTGTTTAAGAATGTGCCTATTTCTGGAAGGAGGATTCAGAGGTTCTCAACATCTATCTCACAGCCCATCACGTTTTATGATCAACAACTTTCCTATCTTCTACTGGCTCAAGAAGGATCAAGGTGGTGACAATATCAACTCCAAATTCTCCTGCTAATAAAGAGATTGTTTCTGTGAGTACTTATGGAGGAGGACACAAGGGTAGGAAACTCACAGTAAGCCTATCCTGGTTGATAAGTCTATCACGAGTTGATGGTTAGCTGCCCTGTTATGCCATGTTCAAGTTCACTAAGCATGTAAGTTTTGCTCAAAACTGTTAAAAGAACTTGATGTCAAGTATGGAACCAAGATATTCAGCAATGTTGTAATAATAGCAATTACATGTCATCTAGTCCAGTGGTTCTTAACCTTTGTTACTCGGATGTTTTTGAACTGCAACTCCCAGAAACCCCAGCCAGCACAGTTGGTGGTGAAGGCTTCTGGGAGTTGCAGTCCAAAACTCATGAGTAACCCAAGATTAAGAACCAGTGATCTAGTCAATGTTGACTTAGTGCAGCCCTTTTCAGGGTTTTCTGGGTATAAAGTACAGTACTGAGAAGTAGCTTACCATTCCCTTCTTCTCGGGGTTCTTTAGCATTGTGCAGCTTGCTCTTCTACTGGGATGCAAAGTGGAAAATCAAACTCCCAAGCTCTGATGTCACAGCCTGACATTTACTGTACCTCACTGAGCTACCCAGCCAGCACAGATGTCATCTATGTATCATCATATTACTGTGGCAAACTGTTTCTACATTGCGAAAATCTCTAGGACACATAATATGCACATACATACACACATACAGGCATACAGAGTGCTTTGTCGACAACATACTATGTAGTGGATCCTCATAATCATGTTGACAGAAACCAGATCTTAATAACGTAAGATGTTCCTGACCTCTCTGTAGAAGGTCAGTGTTTCCATAATGCATGCTACAGGAGATGAACAGCCAGACTAGGATATGTGATCAATATAGAAGGAACACAAAAAGCAAAGGTAACCACGCTTGGGGGGGGGGATCGTTCAAATTAATGTTTAATGGGAAAATGCCAAAATCCACACAAAATGTTGCTTACTTTAAGCTGACAATAAAGTTACTATGTAGATTAATACAACATACTAAATTCAGAAAGTGAGAACTACTTCAGCTGTTTAATAAGAAATGAAAAGTACCCTTTGTTACAGCAAATCATTCAAAGAAAAATAAACAGAAAAATAAGTACAGAAAGAAGCAGAACTTATTGGCTATTTGGGTACAACACATCAGCATTTAGAGCAGCAGCATTCAAAGGAAGCATAGCCATGATGATACCCAGCCTCTGATATGTGAGAAACAATATGGAATGTAGAGGGAGCTTGCCATGGAAAAAGTATACATTATTGTTACTTAACTGATTGCAATACATTTCTATATATGATTTTACATAATACTGTAGTGTTATGTTGCTCTGTGATCCTAACACTGAAAGAAAACATATCCTGTGTACTTAATTGGCTACTAGCAAATAATTGGGGGAGGCTGATCTCCTATCTCTTGGGGAGCATGCAAATACAGAAGAATACTCAGCTCAAATTATCCTTTGTTCTGGGACCGTGGAAGTGATGAGGTAAGGAGCACACTCTGGTCCTATCCAAGAGCTATCAGAGACTAACGGCTATCAGGTAATGTGTGTCTGTGTACAACTGTTTAAAAATATCAATTCATGCTAGGGGACATTCAAAATATTCAGCACAAATCAACAAAATTAACATATGTATTAATACTAATCTATGTACAGTATTTAAGGTATATACACCTAGTTATCACATTTATTTATTCAAAATATTTACACTACAACTTTCTCTTCAAGAGGATCCAAGGCAGTTGTGACGGACAGGCCTGAAACCACACCTGTCCATCACAATGGAACACTAATTAAGTAGCCAATGGTTGTGCAGGAAGGCGGAACCAGGGAATATAAGAAGAGAATGGAGGACAGTTAGAGTTTCAGTTAGAGTCAGGAATTCAGTTAGCCAGGACTTAGGAGCTTAGGTTAGTGATGAGATAGGGCAGTTAGTCAGGAGTTAGGGAAAGAGTTAGGTAGTTGGAAGAATTTGTTTTGGAAAGAAACACGGTGGGGTCTTGACTTGAGAACTTAATCCGTATTGGAAGGCGGTTCTCAAGTCAAAAAGTCTGTAGGTCAAGTCTCCATTGACCTACAGTGCATTGAAAACCGATTAAACCCGTAACAGGCTGTTTTTGTTCCATTTTGGTTTTTTTCTGGTCTGTAAGTCAATTCTCAGTCTGCAATTCAAACCTAAATTTTGCCGCCAGAGAAGTCTGTAACTCAAAAAGTCTGTAAGTCAAGCCGTCTGTAAGTCAAGGGTCCACTGCACTTGGAAAGAAATGTATAAGAGAACTGAATGCAACTGTTATAAAGTGATTGAAACTAAATACAAAGTAACCAGCATATTTCTAAGTTAAATGAATGCCAAATACATTTCCATCTATGATTTCCTTGATTCATAAATATGTTAATCTATTAATAAACAATATTATATTTGACACGATTGATTCTGTGGTCCGAATTGGTAATTGAGGAAGGATTTCCTCTGGTGGCAGCAGAAGTGGAGACAAGAGAAACTGTCATGGCCGAAGGCAAATCTGTTTGTTAGGGAGAACATACAGAGGGGCTGGGGGTGTGTGACAGCAGCTTACAGTACAAACAAAAATACAGACTTGAAGGAGGAAAACAAAGCAAAACAAACAAAAAAGCCAAACTCTTAGGCAGACAGTTACTAAGAAAAAGCCTGCCTGAAGACAAAAGTTGTTGCTTGCCTGCAGAATATGACAGAGAGAAGCCTGACCACCCATGGGAAGGAGCCCCATGTCAACAGACATATCTCCTTTCTCATACATAAACATGAAAATATGTAAGATAAAGGTACGCCTTTTTTTTCATACATAAAAACTCTTTCCATTTCCTGAAATGCATAAAATGCAAATTGATCCTTCAGATTCATGCTTCTCAAAGCAGTGGTCTGCAGACTGGTACCACTCTGAGAGCTACTACCATAGTTGCCAGACTGCAGCAAGCTATTTTTTTGCAAATCTCTACATTTCACCTGTTCCCACACTCCAGGCGACATCATGTCATGAGGGGTAAGGAAATACCATGTGCTTGCTTCATTCCTCCAGACATACTTAATTCCGCGAGACAGTAAGTGACCAGAGGCTCCAGGCACATTTGTGGCAAACATATCTGAGAATCAGAATTTCCTGGTAATAGGTATACATGCAGGTATTTCCATCAGTTCAGCTAGTGATCTGTGATATATACAGTAAGTGATGTGTTTCTTTTTTGACATTTAAAATTGGCCTTAAAACCAATATGGGGGTTATACATTCTCTTACATATCAATATCACAATTCTAATTAAAATGGAAATAACAACCAGGGTCCTCAACTGGCCATTAAGAATGAGGGTCACTTTTTGAATTTGTAAAGGTTTTACATAGCTTATTGAAGACATATTTTTGTCTTTCTTAACTAAATGTAGTACTTTGTTTTAATATTTTCAGTATTTTTTCCAGTTCAATTTGCTTCAATATCCTTCAAGCTGGCAACCCTATAGTGGTCCTCGGCACATGGGTGTGTGTGTGGTGTGTGTGGTGTGTGTGTGTGTGTGTGTGTGTGTGTGTGTGTGTGTTTGTTTGTTTGTTTGTTTGTTTGTTGTTGGTCTGCCACATCAGGTAGTTTCAGATAAACTGCTTCAGATTTTCTACGGAAAAGAAACACTTCACAGTTGAATCCAGGCTTTCTTGTTATCAAGTTGGTCTGCCAAATCAGGTAGTTTCAGAAAAACTGCTTTAGATTTTCTAGGGGAAAAAAACACTTTACAGTTGAATCCAGGCTTTCTTGTTATCAAATGCAGAGAATCTTTCACGATACCAACATCTCACATTGTGTTTCCAACCTGGGTTCTCTTCAAACCATAAAATATGATTGCTTTTTTAGAACAGCGCTATGTTTTAGGACAGTTAACGTGAAGTTTCTTGCTTTAGCAGCCGTAGAGAAGCCTCTTATTCGGGAGTCAAAGAATAGTATCTCCCCCAGGAGGAATACGGGGCAAGCTTACCCACAACGACTCACTCTGCTACCGCCACCCAAGGCGAGAGATAAAGACTAACGCTATGTTCTCTTCATCTCCGAAAACCGAGGTAGCAGGCTGAGCCCGCGCAAGCGCGTTAGGGCTTCGCGGCCAAGGGTGGGAGGGAGGTGAGCGAGGGAGCTCGAAAGCTCCGCTCTCCTGTCGCAGTTCAATAGACCAAGTGCGCTTGCGCGGCGAGGACCCGAGGCAGGCGGGGCCGCATGTTTGGAGCGGCTCACTATTTGGCAGGAAGATGCAGAGGCCTCTCTCCTGGTAGCGGCACCAGCGCAAGCAGAGGAGAGCTCCCGATGTGGCAAGAGAGAGGAGGGCTAAATAGCAGCAGCGGCGGAGAAGGAGGGGGCCAAGGGAGACAAGGGGAGCCGCCGCAGCAACCGCCGCCGAGGAGCTGAGAGGCCTGGCCGGGCGAGCGGCGGTGGCCACGCTTCTGCAGCACTGGCACCCCCGCCGACGCCACCCCCCCGCCGGGCCCCTCACGCCCGCCCGGGTGGAGGCGGAGGCGGCGGAAGAAACGGCGAAGGAGCCGCGGGCAGCAGGTGAGAGAGCGCGGGCGGGGAGGAAGAAGGAAAGGCGGGAGGGGAGAGAAGAGAGAGAGAGGGTGGGAGGGGGGAAAAGAAGCAGGAGCCGGAGCTGCCGCGCCGCCCTTGGCCCGGCCAGTCAGTACCGGCCACGGCCGAAGGGAGTCGCTGTGGAGGAGTCGCTGCCGCCGCCGCCGCCACTCCGCTCCCCTCCCCTCCCCTGGGGCTGGCAGTATTTATTATTCATTCGCAGCAACCCCGCGTTGCTGTTGCTGCTCCTCCTCCTTTCACCCCCCCCTTTTCATTCCTCACAGCATTCTCCCCCCCCCGCCGGAAGCTGTTGCCATGATGGAAAAAGGGAGTGAGGCCGGAGGGGAGCCCTGAGTAACCTGGGGGGGGGGGAAGTGGCAGTTGACCCCCCTCCCCTCCCCGGGCTCCCTTCTCTAATTGCTCCACCTCGGGGGAGGGGAGGGGAGGGGAGGGTGGCGCCAGGTTCTGCTCAGTCCCTTCTCCACCACCCCCCCCTCCGCCACAACCACCACACACACACACTCACACACACGCCCTAGTCTTTTCGCCTGAATGTTCTGGTTTCCTCCCAGCTATTGTGTGTCGGGAAGGCAGGGGCCCCTGCAAAGGGTTGCCTCGGTTCCCCTTACGACCAGCTCGGCTCTCTTCCCTCCCCCTCCGCCCCCTTTTCTCCCTTGATAGTCAGAGGACTTTAAAAAAAAGTCTCCTTCAGCGCCGCTGGGGGAGGAGGATTCGGTGTTCTAGGCGGGGAAGGGAATCTGTTGCTACTGGTGTCTGTGAGAAAACTCTTCTTTTTCCCTCCCACCCCCTTTTCACTAGATGGCTGAATAACATAGGAAAGGAACACACTCCACAGTCCCTGACACAGCAGCTGTGTGTGTGTATGTGTGTGTGTCTCTCAGGCTTTGCTGAGTTCCTTTGTCTGCTGTTGCTGCCTGTCCTCTTTTCTTTCAGCTTTTCTCCTTTACTTCCTTGTCACTCTTCCTTCCCCTCCTCCTTTCCCCCTTTTTCTCTACCCCCTCCTCCCTTTCTCCCTTCCCTCCTCTTCCTTCACAGACTCCAAGAGCTGCTGCAGCTGCAGGTTTGTAAATACTGGAGACACACACACACACACTGGAGACACACACACACACACACACACACTCACACTCAAACACTGGAGACACACACACACACAAACACTGGAGACACACACACACACATACACACACACACACCAAAACATGGCTGACGCTCTGCTTTTTCCCCCCTTGCCAGAGCTCATTCTCTCTCTGCAACTCAACCTTTCATCCACTTGTGCCTTTCCCTCTTTTTAGTTTCCCCTCCCCAAAAGGAAGGAAAGGCAGCTCTGCACCTTCCTCGATGTGTTTTCTGTTTCTGTGTGGTTGCATATCTAGGGTAAGGATCTTTACTCTGAAGCTTTCTCCTTTTTTGATTTCTTGTGCACAGGGTGATAAACTAAAAGTCCAAAAAGATTGTGGAAGCTTAGTGAGGCCTTGTGGAGGGGGAGGGGGTGAGTGGGGCGACCTCTACTGAGAAGCTTGACTGGAATGTGCGTATCTGCCTTTCCTGGATATGGGGGCAGGGAAGCTGATGCACCAAATGGTTGCTGATGATTAAATAGGTATTACATTAGCAGAATGCTCAAGACTATCTCTTTCCTTTTAGGATATGCTTCATTACCTGGTGTCAGGCAGTGTGTTCTCTCTGAACAGGCTGCAAAACTGCAATATTTTTATAGCCTGAACCATTTCTCCTAAGGCTGTATCTGAATTTTACATAGTTCTTGCGCTATGGAAAACAAAACTTTATGCCACCAAACAATACGTAGTCCTATTAAATGATTTGCCCAATTAATGACTATGAAACCAGAAATATTTGTATACAGTACTGTAGAGTCCTGTGTGGTTCTTAATGGTTTCAATGAGTGCAGAGATCAGATATTCTTAAGGGGCTTCTGATCCAGTAACCTGTGTACATGTGCAAAATACTCAAAAGCTGAATACTTTTCACCCGGGATATCTTAGTCAAGAACCAGCATCCCTTTCTGGCTTTCACAGAACTTCAGAAAACAGTTTTGAACAGCATGCATGGAGATCCTTAGGAGGCAGTTTTTTTCCTCTCAACATATTTCTGTGATAAAATGACCTTGAATATAGTTGTATGTTTATCTCTGAAGGATGATAATATGCAAGAGTTTTCTTTTGATTGTTGCGGGTGGTATAACCACTGAAAAGAACTATTTTCTTATTGTACTTCTGTCTTACAGTTCATAACTAGAAGGTATTAACAATTCTTAAAGTCCAGTGTATGTGGTGGTCTTCTTTCATCCCAGTGTTTGAATACTTCTTTGCTTTTTGCATAATTCATTATCAGTAACATGAGTAGGATCCTTGAAAAATATGAGACAACCATTAGGAACTTTATAAAATTGTTTTGAAATTGTAAAGCAGATTGAGGGATTAATAGCCATGGTTTAGCAAAGAGAATTGTTGGATTAGTTATGAAATGACAAAGTGGTATAATCGGGAACCCTTGTTAGAAATGTTGATTACATATTAACATAAAAATGCTTTCAAGGTGCACAGACTGAAAAAAAGTTTCTGAAAATTAAGCACTGCAACTCTGTTGAAATGAATGATTGATTAGTTGTTGTCTACCAGTGGGGGGGAATGTGAAATCTGTTGGAGGCCATGACTACACTATGGAGACTAGTTCAGTTCCTGTTAGGCTTCCTACCCAGCATTTGTGCTACAGTGCTATCAACCAAACCACTTGTTGAGATAAACAGATAATGCTCTGCACTCTGTTCTTCCCTCAGTGTAATTAAATCTGTGAGCTCAATGATCAGGGTATTCTCTTTGCTACCACAGTTAATAGCATTCTACCTGAAATATATATTTTTCTTTACATAGAACTGTGCTGTAAAGCTTAATAATAGACATATTCAGATGGTGGCTGTTGTATTACAATTACTTTAATGTGCCCTTATAAATTTGTAAAATGTAGACTTGTATGCACAGGTAAGGACCTTTACTACAGTTGGAATAGTTTGGGGTTGCTTCCCCCCCCCAGAGAATTGTTTGTGAAATCTGCATATTTCTGACAAGGGTCAAATTTAGACTGGGAGTGTTCATGAAAAGAACATTCAACTCCAAAACTTGAAAGAAAAGACTGACCTGGAAGCCTAAACCACTGGACTTTTTTGTGCATAGTGATTAGCAATGATTTGTTCTGATGTCACAGTTTGGAATTAGGTTCCCTTTTTGAGACAGATAATTTGATTTGATGATTACACTGGCAGTCCAACCCGAAGATCTTTAATTAGCAAGTGTTGGTTTACTTTGGTAACAAATCCTGGTTGGAAATTGTGATCTGAAGTCATCACTTGAACCCTAGTTTCTTTTTAATCACGTCTTCAAACATTACTTCTCACCAGGGTGGATAAAAAATTAATGATTTCAAAATCAAATTGATTTAAATCAAAAATTATTTTTTTTGATTTAAATAATCAAAACTGATTTTTTTAAAATTTAAATTATTATTTAAATCAAGTTATGTCAAATCCATCCTGCTTCTCATACAGAATCATGGATTTATTTTTGTGCCCCATCTAAGCCTCTCACCAATCCAGGAATGTGTATAAGAAAGGGAAGTGTCAGGTTAAACTACTGCTGCATGCTTTTTTTCCTGAGCCACTCATCCCAGTTGCTCCCTGCGTACAAGCCAGAGGTAGAAGTATGACTTCCAAATTTAAAACCACATACAGTGGTGCCTCACTAAACGACGATAATCCGTTCCAGGAAAATCGCCATTAAGTAAAAACATCGCAAAGCGAAATTTAAAACCCCATTGAAACGCATTGAAACCTGTTCAGTGCGTTCCAATGGGGGAAAAACTCACCGTCCAGCGAAGATCCTCCATACGGCGGCCATTTTCACTGCCTGTATAGCGAGGAATCCCTCCCTAAGCACAGCGGGGAGCCATTTTAAGCACCCGGCAGCCATTTCGAAAACCCGACGATCAGCTGTTTTTGATTGTCGTAAAGCGAAAATCAGTTCCCGAAGCAGGGAACCGATCATCGCTAAGCGAAATTCCCCCATTTAGACCAAAAAGATCATCGTAAAGCAGATTCGTCGTAATGTGGGCCAATGGTTAAGCGAGGCACTACTGTATTTGTTCATCTGCAGTATTACCTGCAATATGATATTTTAAAAATCAGAATTTACATGTTGTAAACTCTATTCTCTTTTATGTTTTATAGAAGAGAAACTGGTGGTGCCAGAGAAGTCCATATAGGGGAAAAACAGCCCACAAAAAAACTCATCCATCACATCAAAAAACTCTACAGATGCACAGGTAAAACATACCTGACTGAAAACTATTAATGCCAATTCATAGGCAAGATACACAAACACAGAGAGCAAACAAATATCACAGTGTACTGTACACAATAACCCCAGAACACAAAACCCACAAAATAATAACAAGCCTTACAAAGATTTCCTAAAATTCCATTTCCTTTCCAAGTTCCCATAAACATACAAGCAGTCACCTATGAACAAAAACGCTCATGGTGACCAGCAGAAAGCTAGAATGGCTCTTTATTATTATTAGAGCATTTGGAATAACAAACTGGGCAGAATAAGATGGTGGAAAACAAGACTGGAATTGGCTGAATAAGCCATGATGGTTTGTCTTGGCCATAAGACAGACTCAGCCTTATTCAGCAAACCATGATTTAAACAAATCTTAACTTACCCTTATATGTGGATGCAGCCACTAGATTTGAAGGGGCTTTAAAATATAAAAATCCAGTTTTGCGTATCCTGTCAGTCACTATAGGCAAAGAACAATGAAACTTCAGATAATTCTGGGAACAGGTTGAGAGTAGTATGTGAGCTGAGAGTTGCACAACAGGATTTGGGTGAATACTGTCTAATGGACTGCTTTTGAAGTTACAGATGTGCTGTATTTGATAAAGATATTTACTGTAGATTTATTACTTTTTATATGGATTATTTGTAAGCAACCTCTTGTAGAAGGGAGAGATGTAGAGAGGTTGTTCTAAACTGAGGCAAATGGAGAAAGGTGTGTGGTATTGTTTTGGCAGAATTTATCAATGAGAAAGAGAAGGAGTAGCCTTGGTAGCTGAAACTATTCAGTGGTTTTTGGTTTCACATATCCATTAGCTCTTGAACCAAAAGGAAGGGGTAATCAGCAGTTCGGGACTGGGCATGCATAGCTGCTTTCTTGGGCTCATCATTTCTGTGTCTGTAAAACAATGTGCTCAGCCAAGAAATAGCATGGGCTGTGTGGGAACTGCTCTTAAGCCAGAACTTTTGGCATGGTGAAGGGCAGGTACTATCATGTAGAATACAAATCTGATTGCTAGAAGTACATGGCAAGCTAATTTGGGAATCCATTTCTTAATACTTTAGTATTTTGTGTTGCTCTTGTCATGATTTTTTCTGAAAACTCCTACATGGCATTATGCATATTTGCTTTGGATTGCATGAGGTGTAGCTTAGTTTTCAATACACAGGAAGATCAATCTGTTTCTAGAAAAAAAAATCATCTGTCACTCGTAAAGGCAAACTTTCATTTGATCAAATTAGGCTATAATTATTTTGTGCTGCAGTTTCCATCCAGTCCTCAGTTTGAGTCAGTAGTCCAATGCAGTGGTCGCCAACCTTTTTGGGGCCGCAGACCGGCTGGCGGTCGCCAACCTTTTTGGGGCCGCAAACCGGCTGGGAGGAGTGAGCTCCATGCGGGGGAGGCGTGGGCACCCCCGCACAGTGGCGTGTCGCACTCACGTGGGGGGCGTGTCGCGCTCATGCGCACGAGTGCGACACGCCCCAACGAGAGTGTGACATGCCCCCCACAAGCCTGGCACCCCCCTGCACGAGCGATACGCCCCCTTGCGAGCGATACGCCTCCCATGAGTGTGACATGCCCACCGTGCGTGCGTGTGTGTGGGGATGGAGATCCGTATCCGCGGCCCAGTTCCGGCAGGGACCGGCATCGGGCCGCAAACCGGGGGTTGACAACCCCTGGTCTAATGTATTGCATGCAATTTCTGAAATTTCCAGTTGAATGCTGCAACATGCTTCACAATGGAGCATGTTGTGTACACATCTCTTCTGTGTCAGCATTCTTTTCATTTTCATAGCCATCTTAACTTAGCCTGAAATGACCTAGTTGTATGTCACATCTCCAGACATTTTAAAATCAGTGTGCTTAATGCAAGAAATGCAGAGTTCTCATTCCTTGATGCAGTTTGGTCAGTGCTGGTCTATTCAAATGGTCAATCATTTGCACAGTTTGTTAATATTGATGCTTGACAAGTTTTGTAATTTTGCAATTTACTATAACTGCCACAATTCAAAAGAGGGCTGAATATAGAAAAAGAGAGATGAGCTGTGCAAAGAAGTTAATAGTTCCTCATTACTGTTAGAACCTTAAACTTCAGTGACATTCTAATGGAACTCACATTTCCAGATGGGTGTACTCCAAGCAAGGGGTAAATAGAAGTACTGTATCTAGTTTGCATGCTCAGACCCATCTGTGACTAATGCAGAATTAAACACTGATTCAAGGCTATACTACAGTAAGATCTTTCAGTATTGTAAGCTTACTGATTTCACATAACATAAATGTGATTTTTTAAGTACATCTCAATAAAACACTGGCTAAATTGATAGTACATCTCTAGTATCCCTAGAGCAGAAGTGAACAACCTGTGGCTCTGAAAATGTTGATGGACTACAATTCCTTCGCCATTGGCTATAATGCCTAGACGTTGATAGTATTTGTTGTCCAAAAACATCAGGCATGTTCTCTGTGTTCCCTGATCACATCCTAGGGCATTGATCTCATGGGACCAGTAGTCAAGACGCTCCCATTCTGCCAATTTAGAAAAGTGGATGTGACAAGCTTTCTACCTGTTTTCTAACATCAGTTTATATTCTGGTTATGTTATCTTAGTTTTATATTTGTCCTGGACATTTCCACAATTAATCTGTACTATTTTATCTTCATGTATAATTCCTGTAAATTATCATTTGTTGCAAAAAATAAACTATTAATCATAACTTCTGTGCACTTGATTGGTGTCCTTAAAAATATCAGTAAAGCTAATTAACATGTAATCTGTTTCTTGTGGTTTAAATTTTAGTGTTAGGATTGTGGGCCAGTAATGTGCTGAATAGGTCAGTGAGATAAGTATCTGGCTGCAGAGCTAGTGGTTGGGTGTTCAATTCTCCACTATGTATCCCAGAAGAGCTTTTGGCAAGCTGCACAGTCCCAGGATGCCCCCAGAAGAAGGAAATGGTAAACCACTTCTGAGTACAGTACTCTATCTGGCAAACCCTGAAAAGAGTTGCCATAAGTCAGAATCGACTTGATGACACACAGTTATTATTTAAATCCACTGGAATACTTTAAAAAAATAGATGGGTTTTTAATTATTTAAATATTTTTTAAAAATTTGAATCAAATTAATATTTTTTTAAAAACTGATTTTATATCCAGAGACCAAAGTTCCTTAAATAAACAGCAGAGAAGGGAAAAAAAGACATTTTATTATGGAAGAGGCTAAGAAGTAATGATATAGAATTTTGCTGCAGTAAACCACACAGTTGGTTCCATCTAGCAAGCTGAAGTAGGATTATAATTGGATAGCTGTCAAGGTCGCTACTAACCTTTACCTGGCTAAGGTAAAGGATGCCAGTCGAGCATACTTCGCTAACCGGATAAGCGAAGCGTCCAACCAGCA